ACAAGTCACCGCTACTCAGCAAAACCAACCGAAAAGCAAACACATAAGAGCTGTAGCTAGTCCTAGAGAGCCTCTAGAACTTTGTGCATAGGAGTCTTAAAAATGTCATTAATTACGTTCACCGTTGTTTGAAAATGTCGAATTTCTAATTTCATATATCATTGAAGCCTAATATTCTTCCACCATTACTTCTAAACTTCTATCAGGTGCCTGGCCAATTGATCCCTGAATTTGCCCCGTCGGCTTCTTTGCTATCTCCTGGCTCCAACCTTCCAGCACAACCATCCTCCCAGACCCAGCGGCAGAGTCGGCAACGTGCTCCTTTTTTAATGACTCAGCGACCGACGCCCAGCACGTCAATTATGGTTTCACGAGAGCATCATCAACAGCAGCAGCAGCATCAGCAGCAGCTGAAAGAAATGGCTATGGCCTTCTGTGCTCAACTCCACCTTCAAGAACATCAACAAAATCTGGCCCAGCCGCAATATCTTCAACAACATTTCAGGACATCTGCACCCTCGCGACAGGTAACTGGTCTCTTCGGTTGGCCATTTCGTCCATTTCTTAGTCTCATATTCCGTTCAAGCCCACATTAATTACCTTCAACATTGTTGAAAAATGCCTGATGGTTGATTTCGTAATTCCCTCAAACTCTACGATATTCAGCCATGTCTTCTGAACCCCTTGTAGCCTTTTCGTCGATCAATTCGTGGATTTCCGAGGTCAACTGCTTTGCTATCTCCTGACGCCAACCTTCCAGCACAATCATCCTCCCAGACCCAGTGGCAGAGTCGGCAACGTGCTCCTGATGTGATGACTCAACAACCGACGCCCAGCATGTCGACGACGGGTTCACAAGAACAGGCGCAGCAGCAGCAGCAGCAAAAAAGGTCTGCAAAAAAAGCAGCAAACCGCTCTGGCCACAGGCGGAGCTAGTCAGTCGCCTTCTAGAAGCCTTCCACGCAACCCCCAGCACCCAAGTCCTCTTAGTAGCAAGCCAGCCGCCACCCTGACCTCGTGAAGGCAGCAGACAAGCCAATGGCAGCATTGCCTATCGACAGTTCCCCCACCCCCATAACCTCATGTTTCGTTTCAGTTTTTTGTGTGTGTCTGTGCGTGAGTAAGTGTGTTTTCGCCCAACCTGCAGTCGAAAGAAGACTCGCAACGCTGTGTGTCCGGTGTGCGTGTATGTATGTACACTTCTGCTACTGCCATTGTGAACAAAGAGCGTGGCACGAAATTGTCCTTATTTTATCTGAAATGCAGTTGCCTATGCAATGTGTGTGTGGTGGTGGGTTAGATTATGATCATTTGGCAAGCAAAGCAAACAAGGTATGCAGAAGTAGTTGGTTACGACTGGCAAGGCCTTAGCGACCAATCGGTGAACACGAGAGTGAATTAAGAAGTCGTAAGGGAAGTTGGTGGTTTGAGGTGTCAGTGAGTGGGGGGTGGTAGGTGAGGATGGAGGGATCATTGGCGGCTGAGAGAACAGGTTAGTTGATGGGAAGCTTGTTTTGGAGTGCTATGGCGGGACAGCGAATATTGTGGCTGCTGGTTCGGCCAAGAATCGCATACTAGGTGACGAGTCGGGCTAGAAAAGGCGGTAGTTTAAGTGCCCGAGTACAGGTTGTGCGCACGGTTGTAGTACTGGGTATATGACATACCCTGCTTCGTGATCGAGAAGGGCACCCGCGACAAGACCACGAGCGATTCCGCCTAAATAACATGCCATATCCTATGCCTCGAGAACGTCTCTTTGGAATGACATCAATTAGCGCTTCCATTTTGGCTAAGTGGTGCTTTCGTTCAGCGAGATATTCGGATGCCTTTTGAGGAGAAGAAACATTTGATTGATTTTGAGGTCCATGGTTGATTTCGCAGTCATGCGTTAATTTGGTGGATTCAACTATAAGACATGCGATGCCTGCCACCCGCCCAAGGGTTGACACTTCAAACAAAGATAGCCAGAATTGGTTGGACGAATTCCAGTCGTCGTTGGAGAAAAAACACTTTCCATGAGTCGCGATGCAAAGAATCATCGTTAGAGAGTTGATGAATCTTCCGCAGAATCTGCGTCAGGTTTAGGCGCCCTAACTCCTCACGAG